TAAATAAATGCACTGAACTACAAGGAACTTTCTTTAGTAACAAAAATATACCATTCTAAATCAACTTTTTGCGATGTTTTCAAATCTGCAATTAAACTTTTTCTTTCACTTCTAAGTTTTAATATTATTAAAAATTAGTATTTACATATAAAAAATTCGCATCAAAGCTAAAAAATTGGCTATTTAAGCTAACTCAAATTTAAAAATTACTTTTTCAACTTTAAAAAAGTAAAAAAAAATTAATAAGTTTAATTTCTTATGTCTTATGAACTTTATTCTATGTCAATTAAATTATATAATATTCATGAAAGTCAATATATTCTCCTAATAAGATACTTTAAAATAAAATAAAATACAAAACCTAGATTTTTATTAGAAAAATGGCATATTTTTGAATACGGTAGCCATTTGCGCATAGAAGATAGGCCGTCAGGACAAATTTTTTTTTTCATTTTATAGTGCATAAAATAAGCTTTAATTTGATATATGTTTAAAGGACGCAGTATTTCCGGAACATTTTCAAAAATTAAGTTGAAAAAGTTAGTTTTTGTAAAAGAGTGGCTATTTTAAATCCCACCCAATGAGCAGGTTAAGTGTTAGATTTTCAAAAAATGATATCAAATGAAAGGTAAATATCCAAGGTTTTAGTATAAAAAAAAATTATGTTGATTTTTGAAAAAGTTCTCTCTCTCTATGGTTTCAATCCGTAGATTGGTTTGCAGCCATCTTCCAGTCTTCCCTCTTATCCGCCTTCCTTTTCATTTCCACATATGAGTCACATCCTTGGTCCTTTATTATCTGTTGAATGAATTCCAATCTTGGTCTACCCCTACGGTTCTTCCCTTCTACTGTTCCTTCTATTATCAATTTCAACAATCCTTCATGTCTCATTACATGACCTATCCATTCGTTGCGTCTTCTGACTATGTTATTCCATAGTAACTTTCCATCTGATATTCTTTCCAGTACTTCTACATTGGTTACTCTGTCCATCCAACTTATCCTTAGCATCCTTCTATAGCACCACATTTCAAACGCCTCAAGTCTTTTTTTTTCTTCCATTGCTATTGTCCAGGTTTCACACCCGTACAGAGCAATGCTCCATACATACGTCTTTAATAGGTTTTTTCTTATTTTTAGACTCATGCTTCTTGATGTAAATATAGTTTTCTTTTTGTTAAAGGCTATTTTAGCTTGACAGATACGTTTTATAATTTCACTTCTGTTTCTTCCATCCTTGCTGATTGCGCTTCCCAGGTATGTAAATTCATCTACTTGTTCTATTGATTGGTTTCGTATTTTTATCTGTATTCTTGTATTATTTTCCCTTTCACATACCATTACTTTTGTTTTCTTCACATTTATTCTCATTTCCAACTCTTTTTCGAATGTTTTATCCATAGCTTTAATTAGTTGAGCCAGATCTTTCTCGCATTCAGCAATTAAAGCTATGTCATCGGCAAAGCGTAACATACTTATTTTTTGTCCGTTAATCTTTATCCCTAAATTGGCATTTTCCTTTATCATATCTATTGCTTCTTGAATATATGCATTGAATATAATTGGGGATAATGTACAACCTTGTCTAACTCCTCTGTTTATTTTTACTTCTTCTTCCTCATCTTGGATCCTTATAACTGCGGATTCATCCTTGTATAGGTTATACAGAAGTTTCCTATCTGTGTATTTTAACCCCAATCTTTTCATCATGTTAAACATTATCTTCCAATTTACGTTATCAAATGCTTTTTCGATATCCACAAAAGCTATAAATGTTTGTTTGTCTTTCCTAATCCTTTTTTGAATGATTATCCTTAACGCCAATATTGCTTCTCTCGTTCCCATATTCCTTCTAAACCCGAATTGGTCTTCTGTCAATGATTGTTCTATTTTACCTTCAATACGTTTAAATATAATCTTTGTTAGTATTTTAGAGGCATGGGATAGCAAACTAATGGTACGGTATTCTTCACATTTCTTTGCTGCTGTTTTCTTTGGGATGGGGATAATTAGGCTCTTTACGTAATCTTCAGGCAATTCACCGGTTTCGTATATGACTTTGATAATTTGAAATAATTCCCTTTTAACTTTTTCTCCCGCCTCCTTCCAAAGCTCCGCTTGTATTCCATCGATTCCTGCTGCTTGCTTGAAAAAGTTATGGAAGTTTTAAGAAAAAAAAGTGAAAAAAATGACAAAATTTACCGATTTTTAAATTTGTAATTTTTTTGATATTTCCCCCATTTGCGAGGAACGAGGGGAAATTTTTCAATTTTTAAGGGTAATGTCTTCAACTAGATACGATTTGTGATCTTTTGACGTATTTTTGAAAGAAATCGGTCCAGTGAGAGCTAAGAAAAAGTGGTGATAAAAAAAAAAAAAAAAAAAACATAGTAAAACCAATACCTTCTGAGCTTCGCATCGAAGCTAAAATATATTTAAAATACTAATTTAGCACGTACTTGTGTTTAGTGCCAATGATGGTTTTTAAATTTTTAAATAATTTATGTGACTTATTGAATTAAATATTTTTTATATTTGTTTTTAATTTTAAATAATATTAGCCAAAAATAATAAATTCTTAATATATCAGCTAAAATGCTCTGAAATTAAAAGTATTCTTATATCTGGATCATCCTCAACAGACAAAAAAAAAAAAAAAAAAAAACACATCATAGTAAAATTAATACTTTCTCAGCTTTGCAATTGAAACTAAAAGTGAATTTTGAAATTTATAAAAGAAGAAATAAGCTTTATTGCCGTAGAAGGTTTGACAGAGGAATATGAAAAACACTATAGTGGGTAAATTATTCTTTAAAATCTAAACTCATAAAAGAATTTGAAACTGAAATTTCGGGATTATCGGTACTATATCAAACAAAAAAATAAGTTACAAATAATAGAAAAAACGATACTGATCAAAATATACTTCTACCTCAAATAATTATTTTTATCAATAAGAATAAAAAATTATTTTTCTAACTAACTACCTTTTCTGATATAATAAATGAATGCCTAGATTTATTTTTTAAATTATTTAATAGAGCAGCGTTAAATAATAACTAGTCAGAAATAAATAAACCGCAATATTTAGTGCCTTTTTTGCAAGGTCCTGCATTAAGGTTTTATGATAACATTGAATCTAAAAATTTACCGAGGAAAGAATTAAAAATAATATTTAGAGAAAGTTTGAGGCATAATGTAAAAGATTTGTCAAAAATATTGTTCGCGCCAAGCGTGACAGCTGCACTGGTTAGTTGTGGTCAGCTGGTAGTGCTTGTGCGTCATCAGCTGTTAGGACACCTTATCAGCGGCCTGTATTGTTTAGTCGTTTTATTCAAAAAAGAAATATATGTACCTGTTGTAGTATTATACAGTTAGTATAAGTTACGTTGGTTTTTATTTGAATTAATTGTTGTTTTTGTATGAATCAGTAAAAACTTTGTTCAAGTTTCGTTTTATAATACATTATTCATATTATTATTTTGAGGACATATAGTTGTTTTCATTTTTCCTTTTTTTCTTTTATATTGGCTAGTGCGTTGTTGCAGTGAAACTACAGATATTGTCTTACTGTTATAAATTGTAATTCACTTTATTCATATAGAGCATAACTGCATGTAAGTAGTATGGATTATTCTGTTCGATAATGGTAGGTACAATTGTTCGTATTTAATTGTATTCATTGGTCTGGGTAAGTTTATTTTATGTTAACAGAAAATATTTTTCTTTTAGCGATTTTAAATTGATTAGAAACTTTTTTTGTTGATTATTAGTTGCCCCTATTTTAAGCCGTACGGCTGAGTTCTATTCCCCATTTTTATTTTGGATTTTCTAGAACAGCCAAGGCGGCAACAAATATGTCATTTTTATAATTTCTCCATATAAATTACAATATTAAATTATTGAATATCAATTTCATACTAAATTTATTTACTCTAATTAGTATTTATTCATATATTATGATTTTAAATCACTAATCAGAATATAATTAAGAAAATAGGAGTTAATGTTACTTTTGTAATGATCCACCAATTTATTAGAATTAAACACTAGCTACAGATTTGTATCGAAGCGTTCCTTATGAAATGTAAATTAATTTCTTTATAGGATAATAAGATAATATAACAAAATAATAACCATTATGACAAAAATATCAATATCTTATATTCCAATATTTAGTGTATTGTGTTAATTAGTATCGGTTATTAATACTATAAATTCATTGACGTTAAAATAAAAACTGTAGATTCCCAAAAAAATTAAAATAATAGTTTTTCGTCAAAATAAGAAAAATTAAGAAGTTTGTATACTTGCGAAAAAAATTCAAGTTGGTAATACATAAATTGCGCACTAACATGTATTATAAAAAGAAATTTGTAAAGTGTGGGTTGGTAAATGAAATTATAAACGTAGGTTATCAAAATTAAGAGCATTTAAGGCAATGTAATTGATAAAGAACTTTTGGTATTGCTTGGCAATGTTCAGGAAAAATATTTGCCTCTTGCAACGATACAGGAAAAGGCTAAGTAGTTCGCTGGAGTTTATGAATTGAATGACTGCAAAACTTCAAATGAGTGGCTCGATAAAATTAAAAGGCATAACATTCTATATAAATAAATTTGTGAAGAATCATCAGCAGTTGATAATTTAAATACTAAATTACCAAACGTAATTGAAAATTTTGGGAAACAAGACATCTTTAACGCTTTACTTTCGAATTCTATCCAACAAAAAATGTATGAACACGCTGCTTTAAACTATAAGCTAATTTAAATATATATATAAGTTAAGAGGAGAAGGAGAAATATGAATTTTAATTTTGGGAGTAAATTTAAGAATAGACATATAGCTGTATCTATTCATATTACATACCCTACATACAGACACTAATTATTTACTTAAGATACTCTTTTTAAATATAATAATAAATTATGTTGGTTATTGCTTATATGTTATATATACACCAATTTAACCGAAAAATGTTCATAAGTTATTCAAAATAATAATAACATATTATTATTAATATAAACTCTTAGAGTAAAAATGAAGGTGAGTAGTATACTTTAAATGAAGTGTTTGATTGAAAACTAAAAATTATTTTATTTTATTCTAGAACTGGCAATTGATAACTTTTTTGTTGATAATTTCTTGTTTAATATCTAACAAAGGTAAATTCTATATTATATTATCTATGCTCATAATTTAATTAATAATCCATATCAATTCTTGTATTTTTTTTAAATGAGGCAAGTATGAAACGTATAAAATTAGCTATAATGATATTCTTTTAGTTTTTCAGAATGATCAGTTATGTTCTAACAATACTAAGAACTTCTGATCATTTAATTAATATACGTTAATTTTTTTTTTTTATAATTTTTTTACTTTGGAATTATTAAAATGTTACAATTAATAATAATTTCTCAACTTATTAAAAAAAAAAATTGTTTTCATTAAAATTGCGAAAAAACAAATTTCAATACAGCCATTTTGTAGAATAGATTTTAAGAATAAATTTGATAAACAGTTGTTTTATTAATTTTCAGTTTGTGAACATTTTATTTTTAAATACTATTTTTACGATATTAAATATTTAAATATTTATTGGGAAAAAGTAAACTTTTCATTTAACTAGTGGTAATATATCTGTAATTTTTCCAATAAAAATATTTACTTTTGAATAAGCACCTGTAATTTAACTAAAAATGTCGAATTATTGTATTTTCTAAGTAAATAGAAGATAAGAGATGCCTTTGGTATTCGTGTACCACGAGTAAACACGGCTTTTATTTTATTCTAGATGATTTAGTATTTGAAAAAATAATCACCATAGGCTTTTTGATATTTTACTAAAAGGAATTAATTTTAAATAATTAAAAATTTCAAGTTATAAATGACGATTAGATTATTTGAAATCAAAATTGGCTTATTATTTTTATACTCAATGTTGTGTCATATATTTTATAAATTTTCAATTTTTCCATCACGCAGTAATTGTGAACTATTTATTTATTGTGAACTAACTATGACCATTGATATATAACATAATAAAATACACATCATATTTTTATACATGAAATATTAGTTATTTTCAATTTTTTAATTTATAAATTTACAATTGGTTTTTAATACTAAAAAAAAGAATAGAACAAAACTAGGCTTAATTCAATACTGTTATTAATAAGAATAAATATAAAAGACAACACATAAACTCGTTGGAACTCTTTAAATGCCACCATGCATTCAAGGAAAAAAATACAACTACAATTAAGACAGTCAGAATAACTGAATACTTGGTTAACCTAACTGATCATTTAGTTTTTCCAACAGTTTTTATTACAGTTGTCACTATGTTTACTGTTCATTTTTTCTGTATAAACAATAACTTAAAAAGTAAGTGCGATAGTTGTGGAGCGAAGCTATGTAAGTGGAGCGGTCATGACCATAATATAATACTCGAGGCAGAGTTTATCCATTGAATACCTGTAAATTTACATATTTTCTAAAGTCATCTTATTTATAAAAATCAGATCCAGTTCATATTCGCATTACAGAAAATAAATATATTGTGGAGTTCTTGGAGTTGGCAAATTGCGCCATAATGTAAGATAATTTTAGTAATTTCAAGTGTAACAGTCATAAAAAGAAATCAATTAGAAAGTTGTGATAACAGCAGTTTAATTTTGTTAACATTATTTTTCCGGTGTTAAATATTTGCACTTCGTGGTAATTAATTATTAAGTGACTCCCTACCATTACCAATGCTATAATATTTTATATTTGTCATTTTTAAGACATAGGCTTTGTTGTTACAATTCATTTTAATTTCTGCTAGTGCAAGTATCATTCTCAACTTCTTATGCAGTGCACAAAATTAATAATTTAATGTAACAAAAGAACCACGCACATAATCGCAACTAAACCTAGAAATATATATAATGTTCTATTTAGAATGGGCCTTAAGTTAATATTAAATTGTTTCTTTTTTATTCGGTTCGGTAATTTTTTATTTAATGGTCTGCTTTGTTTTATTTAAATTTTTTTCTGTTTTGTTCAGTTCATTTAAAATTTTTATTTAGTCCGGTCTGGTTCAGTCTTTATTTCATCTAATAATCTTATAATTTTTTTAATGTTACAGTACGGTAGGGTCTAGTTTTTGGAATTTTAGGCTATAGTAACCTCTAGCTTATATTCTTTTTTTAAATAATTAATAATCATCCTGCGGGAACATGAAGTACAAGAAACTCAATTAATTCTCTTACCATTTTGATTTTTTACATCTTTTTGGCAATATAATCTTATGTTTGTTATGTACCTAAATTTTCTAGCTTTATAAACTTATAACTTATATAAGCCAGCTTTATAAACTTTGGGATCAAAATTAATTATTACATTCCATTATATATTGTTCAAAATTTGCTAAATCGTTGTTAAATTTGTTTAAAACTATTAAAAAAATAGTAGATTTTCTGGGATGTTAAAATATATAACATTTTTAAATTTTCTGGGGCTGATGAAATATTTAGAAAAACTAAACATAATTCCCTATAACCATCTATGCTGAGAATCCAACAAATAATATATTTTAGAAATATGTAAATAAACATATGGACTTAACTACATAAGTATAATATAAATATAACGGCGTCTGGGGCTATTCAAATCTCTTTCGAAATCCACCACTGATGTTAATTATAAATAATAACATTGGCAGATTTTAAAATTTATATATTTTTTAACTATAAAATTTTTAACTTAAAATTTTGAAATGTCAAAATAAGGTTTTTACCGATTAAAGCTGGTTTTTAATAAAACCTTAATTTTTGATTTTCCAAAAACCTGATCGTAACTTAAATGTAAAACAAAATGTTTTAAGAACCGAACCTAAATTTCTGTAAAAAGACTTCATTATAAAATTCATTGTTTAGTACTGCAAAAATATTATCAACACACAGACCAAAGTTTTTGAAATATCAAGATGAGAATTTTTATTTTCGGACCTACTCCTATTTACTCATATAATTTTATTAAAAATGGAGATGGTGTATTTCTTATTGCTGTGTCAAAGCATTACTTTTTAGTTAAAAAAAAATGATGATTCACGGGTTCAACCATGCAAAATCATCCAGAAGAGGTTGCACGACCACCTCATATTTTTCTTAAATTTTCAGGGTTTATTTTTTATGCTATATTTAGATAACAAAAACTTTTTTCTATGACCTTCCCGTATTCATGGATATTTCAATGTAAAAGCAATCAGAATGTTAAAAAACACACAAATTATTTAATATTAAATTATTAATCGAATTAATATTTTAGACTTAGCCTCATTATAACTTAAAGCTTACATAAAAAAAAAATTATGTGAAATTCTAAGTTTTAATAACTTTTGTTTGTAAAAATTTGCGTTTTTGAGCTTACTTAAAACCATTAAGAAGTTATTTTATAGTGATTTTCTAATGTAGTATTATATAGTGTTTCAATTCATTTTCAAATATTTAAAACAATTTTCTTGGGATTTAGAGGCCTACCAAGATAGAAACTTTATAAAAATAAACGTAATCTAGATGCTATATTTCTGTTGGGGACTTAATTAAAAAAACTTTTTTTTTTAATATATCGGCTTAATACACCATACAAATTTGAAGTTTGAGAAATAAGTGTAATATGTAAAATTTAGCATTAGGAAATCTGTAAAAATCCGCTCAAAATCAAATAATTTAATGATACTTTTTTGTTGTTTACAAACCACATTTTTGTATTTGTTTTATATATTATTGTATATGTAATATATTGCGATGGAATATAATTATTTTATCATTATTCAATTTATTAATTTAGTTGCAAAAGAAAAAATTAATTAATTAATTAATTAAATTATTATGACAATATTATAAAATATTTTAATAAATAATCATGGTTTTATTTTAGTAGTAGTAGAATATTGTATCTTCATAAATATCAGTTATGTAATGATATCTTATGGCTTCTTATGGTACTGTTATTAATTGTTATAAATCTGTGTTTTCGCTATTCCCGATACAGTTTTACAAAATTTAAATCTCATATTAGGTGTTTTTCGTTTTTTTGTACTTCTGAGATGGGTATATTTATGTATTTTATCCCTTTAATTTTTTCATCGTAAAATTGAAACTTTAGCAAGAAAAATTATAATTTTGTAGACAATATGAAATTCAAAACTTTCACCAGGTTAATAAACAAGCTTCCTTCTTTTGCTATTTATTATAAATAGACGATATAATTAATTTTAATTCAATCAGGTGAATATTGAATGATCTATGTGTTTTTTAATATTCTGGCTGTTTTTAACATTTTTTACATAAAATAGTCAGAAAAGAAGGAGAGACATAAAAAAAAAAAACCAGCACAGTGGATCGCGGCACAGTGGTGACGTGGCATAGTTAGATCAAGTATAGTGATGTCTGACAGTGATTAAAATCACTATAAAAAAAAAAAACTCTTCGATGCAAATCTTTAGATAGTGTTTAATTTTAAAAAATTGTTGAAATATTCCAAAAGCTACATAATCTGCTAGTTCCTTATTAATATCCTGATTAGGATAAAGTATGTCGAATAAAAAAGGGATAATTAAAAAATATTATTTCTCATTAAAAAATGATGTTGATCCATTCACTTTTCAATATGTTATATCATTATACAGCAAAATGTAAAAAATAAAATCGAGAAGTTTCACACAAAAATAGCATGGTAGCCATTTTCACCATGAAGATAAAATAAAGTCCGAAATTTTTTTCATAATANAAAAATAAAATCGAGAAGTTTCACACAAAAATAGCATGGTAGCCATTTTCACCATGAAGATAAAATAAAGTCCGAAATTTTTTAATAATAAGTGCATTACATTACCTTTAATTTAAGATATATATAAAAGTGTCAGACTTTCCGGAACATTTTCAAAAGTCAAGTTGAAAAAATTAATTTATTGTGAATAAGTTGTCATTTTAAATCCCCCCTGTGGTCAGGTAAAGGGTCAAATATAAAAAAAAATATACCAAATAAAAGGTAATGATATCATGCATCTATATAAAAAAAACTATATTGATTCGGTTATTTTTAAAAAAGTTATAGTAATTTTAAGTAAAAAAAATTGAAAAAATTACGAAAATTAGCGATTTTTAAATTTGTAATTTTTTTGGAGGTTTCCCCCATTTACGGGGAACGAGGGATTAGCCAAATTATAATTAGGCGCATTTATAGATGACATAATAAATCTCATATATCGTAGCTTATGTATCTTTGGTAAAGCACGTTTTTTAAGTATATGGGGTTTGAAATTATAATAAATTTGGTAATTTAAGTATCCAAAAAGGGAGATAATGAGGAATACTTAATGATAGAATAAAATGTAAACTAAAACAACAAGTCATTTTTTAGAAATTTTGGAAAGAAACATTTTACTTTCTTTATTATATTAGTATAATAGAAAAAAAATTAAAATAGCTAAAATTAATTAATTATTATTCTCATTTAGCAAATGAAAATAGAAATTCAGATGACGAAAAAATATACCAATATGAAAATAAAAATACAGTATTAGCAGATTCAAATTGCAACTTAGAACCATTATATTTAGCTCACGAAAATGGATGTCAGAAGGATAAAGATAGAATTACAGCAAATAGTNTACGATTACAGAAGCTACAGATAAAAGGCATTTAAAATATTTAAAATATGTAAAGGCAAATGGATGTGATTGGGATGTAGATACAACAAGAATTGCTGCTGCAAATGGACATTTAGAATGCTTAAAATATGCTCATGAAAATGGATGTCCTTGGAGTGAAGGCACAATTTTAGCTGCTGCTATAAATGATAAATTAGATTGTTTAATATATGCCCATAAAAATGAATGTAAATGGGATAAAGGAACGACAATTGAAGCAGCTAACAAAGGTAATATTGATATTTTAAAATATGCTCACGAAAACGGGTGTGAATGGGATGATGGTACAACAAGATCTGCTGCAGCAAGAGGTTTTTTTGATATTTTAAAATATGCCCACGAATGTGGTTATAATTGGGATGAGTCTACAACTAGAGCTGCTGCAGCAAATGGCAGTTTAGACTGCCTAAAGTACGCTCATGAAAATGAATGCCCATGGGATGACAAAACAACCAGGGCCGCTGCTCAGTATGGACATTTAGAAAGTTTAAAATATGCTCATGAAAATGACTGTCCATGGCATACCGACACAACCGCAGACGCTGCTGCAAATGGTCATTTAGAATGCTTAAAATATGCTCATCAAAATGGATGTCTATGGGATGACAAAACAACGAGAGCTGCTGCTGAAAATGGGCATTTAGAATGTTTAAAATATGCTCATGAAAATGGATGCGAATGGGATGAATTTACACCAAGAAGAGCTACTTTTAAGAATTCTATGGAATGCTTAAAATATGCGCATGAAAATGGATGTCCATGGGATGAAAATACAACAAGAGTTGCTGCTGCAAATGGGCATATAGAATGTTTAATATATGCACATAAAAATAATTGTCCATGGGATGAAACGACAACATATGCAGCTGTATTTTGGAATAATATGGAATGCTTAATTTATGCTAATGTAAATGGATGTAAATGGGATGATGAAACGACAAAGATTGCTGCCGAAAACGGACATTTAGAATGCTTAAAATATGCTCATGAAAATGGCTGCCCATGGCATTCAGACACAACAATGTACGCTGCTGCAAATGGACATTTAGAATGTTTAAAATATGCTCATGAAAATGACTGTCCATGGCATACCGACACAACCGCAGACGCTGCTGCAAATGGTCATTTAGAATGCTTAAAATATGCTCATCAAAATGGATGTCTATGGGATGACAAAACAACGAGAGCTGCTGCTGAAAATGGGCATTTAGAATGTTTAAAATATGCTCATGAAAATGGATGCGAATGGGATGAATTTACACCAAGAAGAGCTACTTTTAAGAATTCTATGGAATGCTTAAAATATGCGCATGAAAATAAATGTCCATGGGATGAAAATACAACAAGAGTTGCTGCTGCAAATGGGCATATAGAATGTTTAATATATGCACATGAAAATAATTGTCCATGGGATGAAAATACAACAAGAGTTGCTGCTGCAAATGGGCATATAGAATGTTTAAAATATGCTCATGAAAATGGCTGTCCATGGCATACAGACACAACAAATTACGCTGTTTCATATGGACACTTAGAATGCTTAAAATATGCTTATGAAAATGGCTGCCCATGGCATTCAGACACAACAATGTACGCTGCTGCAAATGGACATTTAGAATGTTTAAAGTATGCTCATGAAAATGACTGTCCATGGCATACCGACACAACCGCTGACGCTGCTGCAAATGGTCATTTAGATTGCCTAAAATACGCTCATGAAAATGGATGTCCATGGGATGTTACAACAACAAAGGCTGCTTATGACAATGATCATTTTGAATGTTTGAAATATGCTCATAAAAATGGATGCGAATGGGATACATCAATAATGAAGAATGCTGCTAAATATAACAAATTGCAATATTTAAAATATGGACACGAAAATGGATGTAGTTTTTATGAAGATACAACAAGAGTTGCTGCTGCAAATGGGTATTTAGAATGTTTAAAATATGCTCATGAAAATGGATGTCCATGGCATACCGACACAACCGCAGACGCTGCTGCCAATGGTCATTTAGAATGCTTAAAATATGCTCATCAAAATGGATGTCCATGGGATGACAAAACAACGAGAGCTGCTGCTGAAAATGGGCATTTAGAATGTTTAAAATATGCTCGTGAAAATGGATGCGAATGGGATGAATTTACACCAAGAAGAGCTACTTTTAAGAATTCTATGGAATGCTTAAAATATGCGCATGAAAAT